TATAAAGGTCTCTCCATGCAACCAATCTGTTGCATTAGGAATTATAATTACATACTGCAACATATTGAAGTTATAAATAAATAAATAAATAAAAGTGAGTGCTCTCGTGTCAGTGGCCAATGTACTCAAAGTGATCACAGCAAACCTCATAAAATAATCAATAAAATAAAGTGCAGCACTAAATATTCTCAAATATATAATAATAAAAATTATCCAAGTTATGATTAAGTCAACCCCAATGTTGATATTATGATAAAGAAATGTATATCAATTGACTGCATGAAAGCCCTTTCATTTAACAAGGACATGACAACACCTCATTTAAAACATTTAAAGTAAAGTTTGGTTAATTGTTGTCTGCCTTATGTACATCCTTACCAGATTTTTATTCTAAATCAACATGGTTAGAGCATCAGTGATCTTTATTAACCTAAGATACAAAGAATACACACAAAAGATACTGTATTCCGTTTAATATTTTACATACATTGTGACAGATCTGTCAGGAGGGAATATAGCTAGCTTAGTCTTTTTGGACCAGGACTCCAAGGAATTTATTCACTATGTTTTAATTACTTTAAGGGTTTCTAAATTCTAGACTGAGTACAGCAATTAGCCTTTATTTCTTAAGGGACCAGATTTCCTTGTTAAGTTAAGGTTTAAGTTCACCTTTTCATAAAAAATGAAAAGGTGAATTCTCAATACCCTTCCCCTCGGCCCTCACTGCATATAGCTGCTGTATACGCCATCTCCTGCAGCCCATGCCAGCTGGTACTGAGTGGGGCAGACACTCAAAATATCACTACACAGTCGCAGAGGTTGTGTTGCATCATAATGCTCACAATGGCCAGCAATCATTGGTCAGTGCAAATGCCATCCAAGAATAAAGAAGGCTCAGAAGAGAATCACATTCAAAAAGCAGATTATCTATTAAACTTAGATTGCACATCAACTTGTTTTACTGCCTGCAGGCTTTAAATAAATATATACAGTATATTTAGTTTGTTTCATTAAGAAAATTTCCTTTTAGAGCTACTGTATGTTTTATCAGTATTATTGTAAAGAAGTTAATGATGAAACATTCCTTTTAGATAATAATACCAAAAATGTAAATTTTTTAGTGAGCATCATATCGTGATAGACACAGGTAGAATAAGTTCCTCATGGAAATGTCAAACATTCCAGAGTTTAGTGAACCCCATATTTTGTACATTACACATGTTATAAATGAGGAATCACAAGGTTTTCTGAACGAAAGATTTAATTGCACATTAGCCATCAGATGAGGCTTGTACTTTTACTTTGGAAACAGTTTCATGCAGGTCAAATTACAATGTAACACTTTAAGTTATACTATCAATGAGGAGCTCTGTAAGTTAATGTCACCCTTTGTGCACCTGCAACTTGTTATCTGTGCCTGGATTGAAACTGCGTATGCATGTTGGACCGATGGGTGGCATTTTTTGCTTGGAAAGTTTAGGTGAAGGTGGGTGAAAGACCACAGTCTTCATACAGGTCAGATCACTAAAATTCTAGGCGATCATCCATATGAACAGGTGAGGGGTACAAGTCAAGGATGGCACTCAGACAATTTTAACTATTTCAGTTCCACTTTAAAGGGGACTCAAGTTGTAGTCATACTGTAGTTACATAGTTACATTGTTAGTGAGGCTGAAAAAAGACACTAGTCAATCTAATTCAACCGACAAGAAAAATATATTGAAAACCCCCATATACATAATCCTATACCCACAGTTGATCCAAGAGAAGGCAAAAAACCCCAATATAGCATAATCCAATTTGCTCCAGTGAGGAAAAAAGGGCTTTGTTCCTGATACTCAATATGTCCTCGCTTCAGAACACAGTGTGTGACATCACCAGCTGCACAAATGAATATGAGATACAGTATTCCTTGTACCTACAAGTAAGTTTTATTATAAGCTTACCTGTAGGTACTACTCCCCCTTTAACAAGTCTTATCCAGTCCTGGTGGAGACATCCCAGTATTTGAAGACCCTGTGGATATGACTTTGGAAGCTTATTCTAAAACCATGTTTTCACTGGCAGGCCCTGCCCTGCAACCTGCCATTGTTACCATGTACATTTGCCAAACTTTGGCTGTCTGGTTCAAAGATATGTCCTGGTTTTATCTTGAAGGACCCTTGTGTCCACGAACAACTGTAGCTCTTGCCTGTAGCCCGGTTCTATGGTGTCGATGGTCTAGGGATATTATTTTCCACAGTGGGCCTGCTTTCCATACGCAAGCATGAATCCTTTGACGCAAATGTTGGCATGAGGAGTTTCAGTGCATGAAATGCCACGTGCGCTTAATGAGACAAATAATTGCTTTAGACAATGTTTGGTGGTTCCATGGAAAATTGTATCAAGAATATCACTGGGGCAAAAAAATTACCCTTTTGAAAAAGAAGGGAAACCCTTCTCCTGTGAAACCCTCTTCTTTTAAATAAGAAGAGACCCCTTTATTTCCCCCAGGTCTCCAAGTCCAAGGCGAATCCTGGAACTCAGGTCTGCCATAAGTCCTGGGTCCCCAAATACTCCATATCCATAAACAAGTTCTTCTCCCAATGAGGGGATGCCCCTTACTTATTACTTACCTTTGTGGCCATCTAGTCCCGAGACTTTTTTGACATTTAGGGTCCAGAACATGGTATCCAGAGACAACAAGCTGGTATTTCAGTCTCTAACTTAAGCCCACTTAATGTTGTCAAACTTGCTTGCATCCCTGCAAAGACTGGCAGACCTCCACACTACTCTGGAGCAGCTCCTCTTGCAGGGGGACATAACCTTTGTCCCAAAAGTTCTACATGGAATTTCCAGGTCAGTCATTGCTTCACTTCATCCAGGATACCTTTTGGCCTCTGTGGATGCCTACCTGCATGTCTCCATTTTCCCAGTGCATCAAGGTTTTCTGTATTTTGTTGTGTGGTCACAGCATTCCCAATGTGTCACCCTTCCCTTTGGGCTGTACACTACACCTAGGGTTTTCATACAGGTGCTAAGCTCTGTTCATGTCTTGCTTCGTGCTTAGGCCATTCCCTTAAGGGGATATCTAGATGATCTCCTGTTGAGAATACAGTCTCTCATCATAAATTTCCAACAGACTGTTCAGACCCTGTGGAGATTTGGGTTGAGGTGCTAAACCTTTAGAAGTTGATGTTGGAACATTTTGAATATCTGGGTCTATTCCTTGATATAGTCCTGTCCAAGGATTTTCTTCCTCTGGACAAAATCCAGACCCTCCCCTCCCCTCCCATGTTTGCACTCTAGTAGCTGGCTGACCCTCCACGTTTGTATGAGGGTCCTGAGCCTAATGGATCTGAATGCACACTTTCACTCTAGACTGTTGGTTCCTTTGGACAGGAGTGCTCAGTCTCTGGACCATCACTGCCTGACCCTCAAAACTAGGCTTACCCTGGCAAGGTGGGTCATGAGACCAGTTCTGAAGTCAAGAGAAACATTTCTGCCATTGTTCTGGAAGGGTTTCCCAACAGGGAACTGGATGGGATGAGAGAAGTCCTGAATACTATCTTTGTACAGGGGACTTGGTTGCCAGAGGAAGCTCGTCCCCCAATCAACATTCTGGAGCCCAGAGTTATTAGGTTGTACCTGCAACGCTGAACATCTCAACTACAAATTCATCTGACCTGAATTCAAACAATGACACAGTAGTGTCATACGTCAACAACCAGGGAGGATCCATAAGTCTCACAGCTCAAAGAAAAGCTGATCCAATTATGGCCTGGATGGAACTTCATATTCTAGGTGTGGACAATTAGCAGGCAGGTGTCTTCAGTCATCAATGTCTGGACTCCAGGGGGTGGTCTCCTCACCTTGAGGTGTTTCAAGACTCTTTTCACATATGAGGGGCACTGGTGTCAGACTTCCTAGGTCCCAGGTTCAACAAACTGACCATGTTTGTCTGCAGGATCAGGGATTCTCTAACCTTCGCAGTGGATGCTCTGTTGACCCATCTGATCTATGTCTTCCATCCTCTAAAACGTCTTTCTCATTTACTCTGTAGGATCAACATGGAGGGCATTCCGGAGATCACGCCCAATGGGCCTTGGAAGATGTGGTACTCAGGCCTTGTCAGAATGTGTACCCTTCGAGATCATCCAGATCTTTTGTCCCAAGAACCAATTTGCCTCCCTACTTCTCGGTTGCTGGCTTTATTGGCTTGGATAGTAAGATTTGGTTATCTCTACACTCTTAAAAGCTAGGTAATTGGTTTCCTTCAAAGTCTTCCATCACACCAGTGAGGCATATTTCTTTTTCTGTGAGAAAATGTCATATCCAACAGTTCTCAGTGGGATGACTTCTTTCTATTCTCCAGTTTGATCTGGGTCATCATTTGGCCTTGAGCACCATAAAGGGTCAAATCTCAGTCTTGGCAGTTATTTTTCAGAGACTGCTTGCATTTCACTCCTTAGTGAAGGCCTTTGTGCAGAGTGGCACTCACATTGTTCCCCCTGTATGTCCCCTAGTGACGTACTTCTGCAAGGCAGTTTCTGAATTGTTGGCCTTAAGCTTAAGATATGCTTACTTGTACTAAGCAAGGATGTGGTTATTCTGAGGCCCAAAGCCCCTTTCCTTTGCAAGGTGAGAGGAAAAAACACACCAGGGAGAGTGCAAAGATTAGTTATTTTGCGATTGGGATCACCATCCCTTAAAAATGTAATTATGACTAGCTATATAGTAATGGCAATTTTGATTGTCCCTCAAATGGTAAACTACAAAGTTAAAATTCATCAAAATGTTATTTTATCAATTTATTTAATTTAATTTTTCCACCTTTGTGGTGAACACAATAAAAACAATTTTTAAAACTTATAATTGCTGGGGCCATTGCATCAGACAGTAATACACAAGTCATACACAAAGCATAAAAGTCAGTCGATGTAAAGTTTGACGTGTTTCGTGAGATCCCCCGCTTCCTCAGGAACAAATGACCCCGGCTGATATGACTGATGTCAAGGAAGCTATAAATACAAAAATATAATTTAAAGTGGAGCTCCACACAAAAGGGGAAGTTCTGCTTTACGGACTGCTCCCCCGCTCCCCATTAACAATTGGCACCTTTGGGGAGCAGGGGGGGAGCAGGTATCCGAATTTGACAGGTACCCGCTCCCACTTCCAGTCCGATCACCTAGGCCAGTGGTGGGCAACCTTTTTTTTCAACTGAGCCAAATCTCGCCAAAACTACGATTGAAATTTATTTTGAGAGCCACATTTTTAAAACTGAAAATACATAGGATGGTACACTGTTTTTAGTTTCAATAAGTTTTTATAGTAATTCATCCCCCATATAGTAATTCATCCCCCATAGTAATACATCCCCCATATAGTAATTCATCCCCCATATAGTAATGCATCCCCCATAGTAATTCATCCCCCATATAGTAATTCATCCCCCATAGTAATTCATCCCCCATATTAATTCATCCCTCATATAGTAGTAGTAAGTAAAGTAGCAAGTAGTAAGTCAAGTCCCTCCTGTGTCAATTCACTTACCTTTGCTCCGCGCGTTCCTCTCGCCGTGCTCCCCGCGCCGTTCCGGTCTTCAGGGCGGACTGTGAAAGGAGCCTAGCTCCCCTCACGTTCGTCACGCTGCCCCGCCTACACACATCCTGACAGCCAATCACTAGCTATCAGGATGTGAGTGGCAGCGAGACTGGCCAATCATTGCTGGGCTAGCTGCAGAGTCCTCGGCCACCCGAGAGGAGGGAGGGGAGGGGAGCGGCCGCCCGAGAGGAGGGAGAGGAGGGAGGGGAGGGGAGGGAGCGAGCGCCCGGCACACAGAAGAGCCGCATTAAAATGTGTAAAGAGCCGCATGTGGCTCGCGAGCCGCGGCTTGCTGACCACTGACCTAGGCAATTGGAAACGGAAGGTGTCCTCCCTCCCTCTCTGTAGTCTTTTGGGACATGTGATAGGTCCCAGAAGACTAAAGGACCATTCACGAAGCGCAGCGCTACTCGCGCATGCGCATTGGGTACCCAGCTGTGAAGCCGCAAGCTATCACAGCCGGATGCCCACACTGAAGATGCTGGCCTCCTGGAATACAGGACGGCCGGTAAAATGAGCTGCGGGGGACACACCACAGAACAGGTAAGTGGCTGTTTTTTAAAAGTCAGCAGCTACAGTTTTTGTAGCTGCTGAGTTTTATTTTTTGATAGGTCGAGTGGAACTCCGTTTTAAGTACATTACACATAAGCTATGATTAGATATACAGATAACGAGTCTTCAAAATTAATGTTACTATATTCTATCCCTTCTAGGGAGAGAGGCAAAGCAAGAAAACTGACAGTAGCCACTGTTTGCCAGAGTCTAATATGTCCTTTGTCCCGTAATATACTCCGCGACAAGGGTTTTTTGTGTGTCTTAGTGAATCTTGTAAATACATGCCATAACAGAAAACTGTGTCAGTTTTGCAACCCATCTGGAATAGCTGGAATAGATTTATCTTGATGTTCGAAACATACATACTGTATATATAGAAATATATACATATATATATATACACTGCTCCAAAAAAATTAAAGGAATGCTTTGAAAATACGTCAGATCTCAATGGGGAAACATATCATGTAGGATATCGGGCGCCAGGGGGGGGCTTCCAATTCTGGTGTTCAGTGGCAAATGCAAATCCAGCTCTATGGTGCTGGGCAGTGAGCACAGGGCCCACTAGAGGATGTTGGGCCTGCAGGCTACCCTCATGAAGGCTGTTTCTGATTGTTTGGTTAGAGACATTCACACCAATGGCCTGCTGGCAGTCATTTTGTAGGACTCTGGCAGTGCTCATTCTGTTCCTCCTTGCACAAAGGAGCAGATAACGGTCCTGCTGATAGGTTAAGCACCTTCTATGGCCCTGTCCAGATCTCATACAGTAACTGCCTGTCTTCTGGAAACTCATCCATGGTCTTGAGACTGTGCTGGGAGACATAGCAAACCTTCTGGCAATGGCACGTATTGATGTGCCATCCTGGAGGAGTTGGACAGCCTGTACAACCTCTGTAGGGTCCAGGTATCGCCTCATGCTACCAGTAGTGACACTGACCCTAGCCAAATGCAAAACTAGTGAAAAACAGTCAGAAAAGATGAGTAGAAAAAAAGAATGTCAGTGGCCTCCACCTGTAAAACCATTCTAGTTTTGGAATCTCATTGTTGCCCATCTAGTCACCTGTTGTTAATTTCATTAACACCAAAGCAGCTGAAACTGATTAACAACCTCCTCTGATACTTAACTGAACAGATCAATATCCCAGGAGTTTAATTGATGCTATACTCTGATTAAAAGGTGTTTCTTTAATTTTTTTGAGCAGTGTGTGTGTGTGTATATATATATATATATATATATATATATATTTAGTGTTGTAAAGCTACAGGGTACCCTGAGAGTCAGGGTGGTGGAGAGCAAGTGCCCAAGGTCAGCGATGCCCACCTCAGAGGTTACTGCTACATGGGGTTCCCTGAAAATCAATGGGTTGTGTTGCCCATTGCTTTGCAAGAGTACCCACACAGTGGTGATATGCCTGCCCTGTTTAGACGTTATATGCATTTATCCTCAGGCAGACTGTTGAATTGTAATAAATGAGCCAAAGGCATGCAATATCATACTTAAATACTGCTATAGAAGTTACTGCATTACTGAGTCAAAGTTTATCTTAAAAAGCCAGTGAGGAGGGCCTATGGTTTTTACTGGCTAACTCCGAGACCTGATCATTTTGTCAGCATTTAATATAAACACTGAGGATTGCCTGCATTTTCTCTCCTTTTTTATCTATGCAATATCTGCTATGTAGCTTGGTTGCTTCATAAGGAAAGGTCCTTGACATTTATAACTGTAAGGGTTAGCAAATCCTTGGCTCCAGACCCTCTTGCTGGTCACATGATATGCACTCAGCACACACAAGATGTTTAACTTACACTGGAGATGCTGTTTCATGTTCCTGTGTTATTAAAGGCTAATACTGAAGGAGCCTTGACAAGTAAATTTGATGATTTGATGTGCCAGTTCCCACATAGCTGGCTAAAATAAGCATGTCCATGTGCACAATGATTCCTGGAAAGAGAAGGCTGTATGCAAGGTACTTTACAAAGCTAAAATGAGCCTTTGAGCAATTAAAATGGGGCCAGTTATAAACAGAGCACAAAAGTGAAGTTGCTAACACAAGTGAAAAATTCAAATTATTTAGTGGTAAGAACTATAATCTTCTATTCATTTGCATTTCTTAGCTTTTAATGACTAAGCTCCAGCATTGTAAAATGTTGTATATTCCTAAGGACTGTTGAAAATATGAAAAACTATGCAACAGCACTCAATTGATTTTTGATGGTGTTCATGCCCACTGATAGATACAGTCAGGTCCATAAATATTGGGACATCGACACAATTCTAACATTTTTGGCTCTGTACACCACCATAATGGATTTGAAATGAAATGAACAAGATGTGCTTTAACTGCAGACTGTCAGCTTTAATTTGAGGGTATTTACATCCAAATCAGGTGAACAGTGTAGGAATTACAACAGTTTGCAAATGCCATCCAAGAATAAAGAAGGCTCAGAAGAGAATCACATTCAAAAAGCAGATTAGCTATTAAACTTAGATTGCACATCAACTTGTTTTACTGCCTGCAGGCTTTAAATAAATATTTACAGCTTTAATTTGAGGGTATTTACATCCAAATCAGGTGAACAGTGTAGGAATTACAACAGTTTGCATATGTGCCTCCCACCTGTTAAGGGACCAAACGTAATGGGACAGAATAATAATCATAAATCAAACTTTCACTTTTTAATACTTGGTTGCAAACCCTTTGCAGTCATTTACAGCCTGAAGTCTGGAATGCATAGACATCACCAGACGTTGGGTTTCATCCCTGGTGATGCTCTGCCAGGCCTCTACTGCAACTGTCTTCAATTCCTGCTTGTTCTTGGGGCATTTTCCCTTCAGTTTTGTCTTCAGCAAGTGAAATGCATGCTCAATCGGATTCAGGTCAGGTGATTGACTTGGCCATTGCATAACATTCCACTTCTTTCCCTTAAAAAACTCTTTGGTTGCTTTTGCAGTATGCTTTGGGTCATTGTCCATCTGCACTGTGAAGCAGCATCCAATGAGTTGTGAAGCATTTGGCTGAATATGAGCAGATAATATTGCCCAAAACACTTCAGAATTCATCCTGCTGCTTTTGTCAGCAGTCACATCATCAATAAATCATCAATAAATACAAGAGAACCAGTTCCATTGGCAGCCATACATGCCCACGTCATGACACTACCAACACCATGCTTCACTGATGAGGTGGTATGTTTAGGATCATGAGCAGTTCCTTTCCTTCTCCATACTCTTCTCTTCCCATCACTCTGGTACAAGTTGATATTGGTCTCATATGTCCATAGGATGTTGTTCCAGAACTGTGAAGGCTTTTTTAGATGTCGTTTGGCAAACTCTAATCTGGCTTTCCTGTTTTTGAGGCTCACCAATGGTTTACATTTTGTGGTGAACCCTCTGTATTCACTCTGGTGAAGTCTTCTCTTGATTGTTGACTTTGACACACATACACCTACCTCCTGGAGAGTGTTCTTGATCTGGCCAACTGTTGTGAAGGGTGTTTTCTTCACCAGGGAAATTACTCTTCGGTCATCCACCACAGTTGTTTTCCGTGGTCTTCCGGGTCTTTTGGTGTTGCTGAGCTCACCGGTGCGTTCCTTCTTTTTAAGAATGTTCCAAACAGTTGTTTTGGCCACGCCTAATGTTTTAGCTATCTTTCTGATGGGTTTGTTTTGTTTTTTCAGCCTAATGATGGCTTGCTTCACTGATAGTGACAGCTCTTTGGATCTCATCTTGAGAGTTGACAGCAACAGATTCCAAATGCAAATAGCACACTTGAAATGAACTCTGGACCTTTTATCTGATCATTGTAATTGGGATAATGAGGGAATAACACACACCTGGCCATGGAACAGCTGAGAAGCCAATTGTCCCATTACTTTTGGTCCCTTAACAAGTGGGAGGCACATATGCAAACTGTTGTAATTCCTACGCCGTTCACCTGATTTGGATGTAAATACCCTCAAATTAAAGCTGACAGTCTGCAGTTAAAGCACATCTTGTTCGTTTCATTTCAAATCCATTGTGTTGGTGTATAGAGCCAAAAATGTTAGAATTGTGTCGATGTCCCAATATTTATGGACCTGACTGTATACTTTGTTGCTGGTTTAGTGGCTTAAAAGGGAACTTCAATCTATACAAACATCTACTGGCACATGTAAGTGCTACTACGTTGTATAAGAAGCAACAATAATACAACACACTAGATAAAATTCACAAGAATATGCATATATTGTAAAGTACGTTATAGGCAGTAAGGCCATGTTTAGTACAGAAGTGACATCAGTTGGACCAGAGCAGTGTAATAAAGAACTATGACAGAGTTCATTACTCTTACACAAGTTTTCCTTAAATTCCAGGCATGTGGATCAATATTCTACAAGCTATAAAGCTGGTACCTACATCCCCATGAATCCATTTAATACAATTTTGTTTTTAAAATTTAGATTTTTCAAGTGTACTATATTACACATCAATTAATTTGCTTCAGGTCTCTTATAATAATAAGCTTATGCATATACAGTATATTTGCTTCTTAGGCACATACCATCATTGTTGATGTTAAAGAATTTGTTCCTTCATTTTTGTTCCTTTTACCCCTCACATACAGTATATCATGGGAATGGGGGTGGCTGATGCTAGGGTCGATACACCTTTGGGTTCACCGTTTTGGAACTTTTTCTTGGTATTCAGTTTAAAAAACGCCTCTCCTTAAATGTGTAGAGATTTGAGGCTCAGGGAATATTCCATCACACAATTTTTTCTTTTATATTATATTATGCTAAGAAATAGTTGCTATTGATAAGGGTAAATATTTATATATGGTAAGCGCTGTTAGCACGTCTTACTCAATGACAAATGAATCTTTATTCTAAAGTGGAATTTTACCCCCTTTCATGAAAAATCACATCAGCATGCAGTGAGGCTTTGCATGCTAATATGAAGTCATCTAACATTTGTTTTGTTTTTATTAAAAACCTTTTCTTTTTTACTTACCATTTTGTTTTT